GGGGGGGGTCTCAAAGGACCACTCTTTGACGGAATTTCACTGGTAACAAGGTTGTAATCGAATATTGGGCTTAACTATGGAGTAACTGATGTGGAACAACTGTTGTTAGGTTCACGTTCTTCTCGAAATCTCACCACATTCGTATGTTCTTACCTTCTGCGCCTAGCTGGTGCATTACTGTTCGCCTTCAATACAAATCCACTACGCCCATTTTGTTGTTCTTCTGAAATCCCCATAAATACAGAGCTGAAGTAATTCAAATGCAAAGGAATTCTAGTAGATCCTCACTTTCTTCTTCGTCTTCATTCTCTTCATCACCTCGTCCACTACGCAGACTTGTGAGGGAGGCGTGGGTATGCGACTTCGGTCGAAGTTTAGCCGCCTGCCCATGGGTTGCACTACGTCGTGTGCCGTAACCATGACGTAGGCCTCGCAACCATTGGCCCTGGTAGTTGCCTATAATGATGGAAGATTTCAAGTTGGTCAAGTCCATAACTCCAGCTAACACTCTATCAGCTTCTGGCACGTCCACCATCCAGACAACTGTCCGATTTATGGTGCTCATGAAAACGCTTCATGATCAATGAGTCATGACAGCAGTAAGGGAATGGGCAATGCAGTTAGAAACTGAGTAAAATACTTACCACCATCCACATATATCTCAGTCCCGTAACCGTCGTGGTATCCGCCAGACCATGTGCCTTGATAACGGGCTTGAGAGGTGGCCGAGTTACGTACCCCATACCGACCTTTCTGACCCTGCGTCCATTCCCCTCTGGAAATGAAAGAAACGATATGTAGCAAACCAAAAAGAAATGTCTCTGAATCATTCTCTTACTTGTAGGTCCATCGTCCTCTTTGCTCCACACCTAACCCATGTCGCTTCCCATTCTGCCACTGGCCGTGATACGTATTTCCTGAAGGCCAATAGTAGGCTCCAGAGACCTGCAAACACCACATGAAATAAGCCATCAGCCATCAACGCTCGACCAATCCCTCACCTCAAAGCCGTAATGCCAAGCGCCCGCATATTCACCCTTTCCTTGAGGACCGGAACACACACCGTGACCATGAGCCTGAAATCAGAGCGGCCTCATCAATTGGTTTGTGATCATGTAAAGTTGAACGTGAACGCACCTTCCCCTCCTCCCAGCCTCCCACGTACGTGCCCCCATCATCGAAATCAAACCGACCGCCGTTCATCTCCCATTGGAAGTTAGACACCGATCGATGTGATCGATAGGTGAAGGGCGACGCCGATCGAGTCGAGAAATCGATATGTGGATAGTCTCTCCCCGAAAAGACAATCAACGATCGATATCTGCGTACCGGCGGAAGTCTCGGTGGTTTACCTAGATGAACATCATGCTTAGACAATTCAGCAGATTAGAATAAACAGCAACGAGGCGAGAAGCTGTCGTCGACAAATAGAGCCACTGTCTCGGGCTCGGGCCGAATCCTTGGCTGATAGATCAATAAAGTCTGAGCAGAAGATTACAACGCACACTATGATGGGTGGGGAGTGTGTGTTGGAAGGGGAAGGGGAAGGGCACGGATGGGAAGAGAAGGAAAAAAAGAGAGACGAAGCCCGAGTGGGAGGAGGACAAGTGTTTATCAGCGGAATTCCACTGCTACCGTTGAAGGATGGAGCTTCCCCCTCAGGCGGTGGTGGTCATCATCAGAAAACATTTAGGATGTCTTCTGGCTGAGTGATTAAATGATTTCGACTAAGGCAGAACTTCCGTTACAGAAAGAATTGTTGGGGAAGGATGCGATGTTTTAAAGTAAATCGAATATGATCATCACCCTTCCCTTCTGATTTGACTACTGTAGGCAAATGAAACAAAACGGATGGAAACCAGTGGACTCTGGGACGAAATGCAGTATGAGACCAGCAATACAGTTACTTACAGTCAAAAATAAGTAACGATCGGCAGGAAGTATCCATCAAGGATGCTCCAGGTATCAAATGTTCAATTATGCTCGAATACCAATTTTATAAGACCCCTATGAAACTCGTGAACCCTCGATGCTCCTGCGTAGGCCGACCTGCTCTCCGAAAGAGTTAGATTAAACCAACAGGGATAGTAAAAAAAGTGTGAACAGAAACTTCGAATGGAACTGATGCTATTCACAAATTAGGACTAAAAATAACAAAAAGGAAATTTCAAAAGACAAGTTCTCGAACAAAAAAATGACAAAAAATTCATAACCAATTATTAAAAACAAATATGTTTGAAACAAATAAATTGTAGGAAAAATTACTGGAGCTCCTGTAAATCTCGGTCGCTTAGGGTACCCGAGCGGGGATGAGCATCGCACCTACTCCACTGATCGCTCTCTGCAACCAGTTACGTAAGGAGGATCCGCCAACGGCGCTGCCAGGCGCAGAGGCCGGCTGGCAGCTCTTCTGCTGCGTCGGTGTGTGTGTGTGTGTCAGCTGTTCATCCCCGTCGACTCGAAATCGCTGCTACTGCTGCTCACGAGCTGCTTCGATTTCTCCGTCACCCCTACGTGGAATATTGAAACAATTCGTCGTGGTCGTGGTCGTGTGGTGAACCCAACGAGGAATGTGCTTAAAAAACTGGCGGTCATTAGTCCCATGGGAGTTGAGGCTGCGAGGCGGCCTTAATAGTGGCCATTGCTGGAGAGTAAGAATAAAATGCACTTTGTTATGTAACGCTTGCTTGAGCATGGCTAAAAGGCTCAAAAGGATTCGGAAAAAAGCTGGGGGCACTCCTCTCGTGGTTTGGTGACCCTCCTCTTTTCAGGGACCACCCGCCCGCAGAGATTCCTGTGGGAGATAGTAATCAAGTCTTTCATCTTCGCTGATTCAGTGCAAGCGGAAATGCTAAAGATAAAATGGTTTCTAGAAGATGCTCAACAGGTCGGATGGCGAAAGAGAGGAGATTTACTTTCAATATAGGAGAGCGGGTTTCTGAGTGGGAGGGCGTTAGTTGAGAGAGGAGAAGGGCACCCAGGGAGAGCAAGCAAAAAGAGCTCGGCGTCGGAGGAGAGCGCTGAGAGACGGAGGTGACTGAATGGAGCGAGCCGCGCTAGAATAACACAATTTTCTCGACGACAACGCTGTGAAGTGAAGCTGTGGGTGCTCTTCTGGAGCGTATCGTCGGGAGCACGATGCTGCGCGGACGCGATTGTTTAACGCCGTCGACAGTTTTGAAAGAGGTATGAACGGTAAAATGTGTACTCTCTAAAATTGACGGCGGCGACGAAGAGGAAGAAATGACACCAGAGAACATCACTGACTGGATTTACGGGATTGCGGGTTGCAGTCCAGGGAGTGCTCACAGCAGAAACTCTGGGGCAAAATAGCGCCCAAGAATTCGGCGAATGTAGTTGCTGCGAGGATTAACGAGGCTTTCTCCAACTTTATTCTCACAGCCATTCAGCCGCTCTTGCTCACCTCATCCGCACACGCAGACGTAAGTTTCATGAGTTTTAGAATGAACTCAGCACCCAAAACTGCAGTAACAACGAGTTATCAGTTCCAACTATCGGTGATCATGACCCTGTAGTTCTTGAATGTACTTCTGGTAAGCTTCGGAATAAAAAACGGCTTGGATTAGTTCCCCATCAGTGGCGGCATCAGTAACTGCCCCCAATCTGCCAGGTGACATAGCAAGAACTGTTGTTTAGCGACTCTCAATGGGGACAAAAAAATCCCTAGAAAAATCAGCAGGAAGTAATTGCACTGCAAATTAAATGGTCTGCCGCAGAGATCGAGTGGGAGATAAGTAGGGTGCGAATGACTCATGTCCAAGCCCTCAGTATATCAAAAGCTCGTCTTCTGGAAACGGATTGACCGAACACCGGCAGAAAGCGTTGAGGTAATACAGTAACCACTAAGATTATTGACTATTAGGTTTTCCTGATCTTGTCTATCTCAACGACTTGTTACGAGCTCCAACAAATCGTGTCTAACCAGCGAAACATGAGATGGTGGCCCATTAATGGACGGAGAAAGTGCAAAAAAACGAATATTCTGGAACTTGTGCACGCAAAGTGATGAACACTTTTGCTATGGATGTTAACACCAGAAAGCAGATTCACTTCCCACTCTCCCGATACAACGGCGTCCCCCTGCCACTTCGTAGAATTCGTTTTTTTTTCTATTCAGAAGCGG